CTGTCTATAGCCATAACTACAGAGGTTACTGTCTATAGCCATAACTACAGAGGTTACTGCCTATAGCCATAACTACAGAGGTTACTGTCTATAGCCATAACTACAGAGGTTACTGTCTATAGCCATAACTACAGAGGTTACTGTCTATAGCCATAACTACAGAGGTTACTGCCTATAGCCATAACTACAGAGGTTACTGTCTATAGAGGTTACTGTCTATAGAGGTTACTGTCTATAGCCATAACTACAGAGGTTACTGTCTATAGCCATAACTACAGAGGTTACTGTCTATAGCCATAACTACAGAGGTTACTGCCTATAGCCATAACTACAGAGGTTACTGCCTATAGCCATAACTACAGAGGTTACTGCCTATAGAGGTTACTGTCTATAGAGGTTACTGTCTATAGCCATAACTACAGAGGTTACTGCCTATAGCCATAACTACAGAGGTTACTGCCTATAGCCATAACTACAGAGGTTACTGTATATAGCCATAACTACAGAGGTTACTGTCTATAGCCATAACTAGAGGTTACTGTCTATACCATAACTACAGAGGTTACTGCCTATAGCCATAACTACAGAGGTTACTGCCTATAGCCATAACTACAGAGGTTACTGTCTATAGCCATAACTACAGAGGTTACTGTCTATAGCCATAACTACAGAGGTTACTGTCTATAGCCATAACTACAGAGGTTACTGTCTATAGCCATAACTACAGAGGTTACTGTCTATAGCCATAACTACAGAGGTTACTGTCTATAGCCATAACTACAGAGGTTACTGCCTATAGCCATAACTACAGAGGTTACTGCCTATAGCCATAACTACAGAGGTTACTGCCTATAGCCATAACTACAGAGGTTACTGCCTATAGCCATAACTACAGAGGTTACTGCCTATAGCCATAACTACAGAGGTTACTGTCTATAGCCATAACTACAGAGGTTACTGTCTATAGCCATAACTACAGAGGTTACTGCCTATAGCCATAACTACAGAGGTTACTGTCTATAGCCATAACTACAGAGGTTACTGTCTATAGCCATAACTACAGAGGTTACTGTCTATAGCCATAACTACAGAGGTTACTGCCTATAGCCATAACTACAGAGGTTACTGTCTATAGAGGTTACTGTCTATAGAGGTTACTGTCTATAGCCATAACTACAGAGGTTACTGTCTATAGCCATAACTACAGAGGTTACTGTCTATAGCCATAACTACAGAGGTTACTGCCTATAGCCATAACTACAGAGGTTACTGCCTATAGCCATAACTACAGAGGTTACTGCCTATAGAGGTTACTGTCTATAGAGGTTACTGTCTATAGCCATAACTACAGAGGTTACTGCCTATAGCCATAACTACAGAGGTTACTGCCTATAGCCATAACTACAGAGGTTACTGTATATAGCCATAACTACAGAGGTTACTGTCTATAGCCATAACTAGAGGTTACTGTCTATACCATAACTACAGAGGTTACTGCCTATAGCCATAACTACAGAGGTTACTGCCTATAGCCATAACTACAGAGGTTACTGTCTATAGCCATAACTACAGAGGTTACTGTCTATAGCCATAACTACAGAGGTTACTGTCTATAGCCATAACTACAGAGGTTACTGCCTATAGCCATAACTAGAGGTTACTGTCTATACCATAACTACAGAGGTTACTGCCTATAGCCATAACTACAGAGGTTACTGCCTATAGCCATAACTACAGAGGTTACTGTCTATAGCCATAACTACAGAGGTTACTGTCTATAGCCATAACTACAGAGGTTACTGCCTATAGCCATAACTACAGAGGTTACTGCCTATAGCCATAACTACAGAGGTTATGGTCTATAGAGGTTACTGCCTATAGCCATAACTACAGAGGTTACTGTATATAGCCATAACTACAGAGGTTACTGCCTATAGCCATAACTACAGAGGTTACTGTCTATAGCCATAACTACAGAGGTTACTGTCTATAGCCATAACTACAGAGGTTACTGTCTATAGCCATAACTACAGAGGTTACTGCCTATAGCCATAACTACAGAGGTTACTGTCTATAGCCATAACTACAGAGGTTACTGTCTATAGCCATAACTACAGAGGTTACTGTCTATAGAGGTTACTGCCTATAGCCATAACTACAGAGGTTATGGTCTATAGAGGTTACTGTCTATAGCCATAACTACAGAGGTTACTGTCTATAGCCATAACTACAGAGGTTACTGTCTATAGCCATAACTACAGAGGTTACTGTCTATAGCCATAACTACAGAGGTTACTGTCTATAGCCATAACTACAGAGGTTACTGTCTATAGCCATAACTACAGAGGTTACTGTCTATAGCCATAACTACAGAGGTTACTGCCTATAGCCATAACTACAGAGGTTACTGTCTATAGCCATAACTACAGAGGTTACTGTCTATAGCCATAACTACAGAGGTTACTGTCTATAGCCATAACTACAGAGGTTACTGTCTATAGCCATAACTACAGAGGTTACTGCCTATAGCCATAACTACAGAGGTTACTGCCTATAGCCATAACTACAGAGGTTACTGCCTATAGCCATAACTACAGAGGTTACTGCCTATAGCCATAACTACAGAGGTTACTGTCTATAGCCATAACTACAGAGGTTACTGTCTATAGAGGTTACTGCCTATAGCCATAACTACAGAGGTTACTGCCTATAGCCATAACTACAGAGGTTACTGCCTATAGCCATAACTACAGAGGTTACTGCCTATAGCCATAACTACAGAGGTTACTGCCTATAGCCATAACTACAGAGGTTACTGTCTATAGCCATAACTACAGAGGTTACTGTCTATAGCCATAACTACAGAGGTTACTGTCTATAGCCATAACTACAGAGGTTACTGTCTATAGAGGTTACTGCCTATAGCCATAACTACAGAGGTTACTGCCTATAGCCATAACTACAGAGGTTATGGTCTATAGAGGTTACTGCCTATAGCCATAACTACAGAGGTTACTGTCTATAGCCATAACTACAGAGGTTACTGTCTATAGCCATAACTACAGAGGTTACTGTCTATAGCCATAACTACAGAGGTTACTGTCTATAGCCATAACTACAGAGGTTACTTTCTATAGCCATAACTACAGAGGTTACTGTCTATAGCCATAACTACAGAGGTTACTGTCTATAGCCATAACTACAGAGGTTACTGTCTATAGCCATAACTACAGAGGTTACTGTCTATAGCCATAACTACAGATGTTGGGCATTTATACCAACCTATCCTATTCTCCCTGCCTGCGATGGAAAACCCAATGTTGAGGTCAGGAGAAAGCTGGTCCACAAATTTGCTAGAACGCTAAACAGCCATCTAGTGGACTGCTGTGGCTAGCTAAAAATATATATATTTTTTTATTAACAATACAAAACATACACACGACATCACACAAACATCAATGACATCCCACCTGCCCAGACCCACCTGCTCCCACCCCCATCCCCAGCATCACTCTCCACCACCTGCCCAGACCCACCTGCTCCCACCCCCACCCACAGCGCCAGCATCACTCTCCACCACCTGCCCAGACCCACCTGCTCCCACCCCCAGCATCACTCTCCACCACCTGCCCAGACCCACCTGCTCCCACCCCCACCCACAGCGCCAGCATCACTCTCCACCACCTGCCCAGACCCACCTGCTCCCACCCCCACCCCCAGCGCCAGCATCACTCTCCACCACATGGCCTCAAACTGCACCATTTTGTTTCTCTCTGTCACCCACTTTCAACATTTAGATAATAAAGCATTTCACCTTTTCCATTGTGTTAATGACGGAGGATTGGTTGATTTCCAGTGTAAGTATATGTTTTTTTTTCTCAAGATGATTGAGGAGAAAAGTATGGTCCAACCCATCGGGTATCTCATATGCCATGTCTTGAAATATGCAGACAGACGGATTAAAAGTACATTTACATTGTAATACTTCTGACAGCAAACTTTCTAACTTCTAACTCTGCCCGTAACTTTTGGAATTTATAACATTTCCATTATTAGTTTTACACTTAAGACATGACTCTGCCGTTGTGCTGTAGAATTTGGGAATGATGTATCTTGTATAATAACATCTACACATTAATTTATACTGGATTAAGCGTACATTTTTCAATAACTGTAATTTCGTTAGTTCTGTCCCAACAATCCCTCCGTCTTCTGCCAATATCAGTTCTTAAGTCTTGGTTCCAATAGTTCATATTTTTTTCTAATAGATTCTCAGTTGGATAGGCTCTCCCGCAAGGTTTTGTACAGTTTACAGATCATATGAATATCCTTTTGACTCATAGGATTCCCTCAAGATTGCTCTGATGTCTAAAAGATGCATTTGAAAATACCTCCATTGGTGAATCATCTCATCATTTGAGGCTTTAATAAAAAAAGTGTTCTTACACTGTCATTTTGAACATTCAAAGCAACTGGGAAAGGTGCAAGGCAGGCACTGTCGTCACCTTTAGTTTGCTCCATGACTTCTGAGCGACAGGAAGCACCACCACCAATCGGTCTCCACCACTGCTCACACACCAGTGGTTACTATGACAACCAGCGTCGCCGTGTCAGCAGATGGCTGCTGTCTGAGCACTAATCCGATTTGATCACTCGCTGTTTGGACAGTCAGTATTTCAAAACTGATTTGAGCATTAAGGCCTGCAGAGTCGCAGTTATATGTACATATCTATCCCAATTACCTTGTAACATGGACTCGGTACCGGAACCCCCGTGTCTATAGCCAAGTTATCGTTACTCATTGTGGATCTATTAATACCTGTTTAAATTGTTCTATTATTTCTCCATTTTCTCTGTGCATTGTGGGTAAGGGCCCGTCAGGAAGCATTCCACTGTTACGTCTACGCCTGTTGTTTACCAAGCACGCAGAGAGAGGCGGGAGGATAAAGGTTATTAAGACTCACCGGAGTGAGGAGTTCAGGAGTAGAGATCGGGGACCTGTCACTGCTCAGCTTGATGCCACTGCCCAGGTCAAAATCACAGATCTTCACTGGTGAAATCTGCAGGTAAACACACAGATTAGTCATTTAGACGCCTGACGTTCTTATCCAGCGTATTCAACTAAAGTAGGCCAGTCAGCTACCCAGATACCACAATCACTAAAACTAACTAACAAGCCTTCCTATATCTTTACGTTTACGTCATTTAGCAGACGCTCTTATCCAGAGCCACTTACAAATTGGTGCATTCACCCTATAGCCAGTGGGATAACCACTTTACAATATGTTTTATTATTATTATTAATTAATGTATTTATTTATTTTATATTTTGTGGGGATGGGGGGGTAGAAGGATTACTTTTATACTATCACAAGTATTCCTTGGGATATTATAAAAGTAATCCTTTATTAAGTTATCCTTATCACGTCATAGTAACAGGCTGTATTAGGATGTAACTACCCATTATTATATTTATCATAATATACTGAACCATAACTGTATTTATCTATCAACGTTAGGAACTGAGTGATCAGATTAAAAGGCCCACTGCTTGTGCAAAACGCATAATACTGGCTGTATTTCGAAAGTTTTACATCTGGAAAACTTGATTGCTGACATGCAAAACGTTTCGGGACTGTATGAACAGTGGACTAATGAAACATACCAAAATATAATTTTTTACTCTGGCTCTCCCGTATAATCTATGCCCGTCTGTGAGGAGTATTGGCGTGCATCCTGACTCACCCGGTCCCCGTGCTCACACGGGATGTTTTCAGGGACTGAATGATGGGATTTAAAGTTCTAGCGCTTGTGTTTTAGACTGGACTCTGGCTCTCCTGTATAATCTATGCCCGTCTGTGAGGAGTATTGGCGTGCACCCCGACTCACCCGGTCCCCATGCTCACACAGGATGTTTTCAGGCTTCAGGTCCCTGTGCGCCATTCCCTTGTTATGGAGGTAGTTTAGAGCACTGGCGATGTCCTGCACCACGTAACTGGCCTCCTGCTCACTAAAGTGTTGTCTACGGTGGATGTGGGTCAACACTGACCCTGCAGGAGGAGAGAGGTTAATATGGAGCAAAACAACGCCAACTCCTAATGAAGAGACGGTCTCAAGTTTCTGCATTACAGAGGTCCCAGAGGGGAGAAGATCAGACAACAATTCAACTGGCTCCGTGCACTGAAGACACTGCCTCAAGCGTTCGCATTTCAGATATAATACTGATTGAGTGCAGTGTAAATTTACAAAACTGGTGAATCTGAACCATCATTTTCTATGGATGGGAGAGTTCGCAATGAAGATTTATATCCACTGACCTCCTCTTAGTTTCTCAAAAACCAAGTAGAATTTGTCTTCTTCCTCAAAGAACTCTACTAGCTCCAGAATGTTTCTGTGGACAGGAGAGAGGAGAGCAGTGGTTATCAACAGTTTTATAATAATAATGCCTATTCCTGTATAATAGTGAATCTCAGCAGTCCATGCTCCTGCTCTGTGTGTCCCAGCGGGGCTTCTGTACCTGTGTCCCTGGCACTGATAGAGCATCTCCACTTCTCTGAAGACTCTGCTCCGGCTGAGACCCACACGCTTCTCGATGATCTGGACAATCAACAAGATTTAACAATACGTTATTCATTTTCAGTCTTTTTCATATTAAGGGAATAATTTGTTCTTATTGAAAGGGTGCAGGGTTCTCCCCAAAGAACGAACAGTGTTTGGCTCTTTGGTGACTTAAAAGTGCAACACAAACCTATCCCAGATGACTCAGGGGGTATTGAAACGTGCTCCTAGATGGTTTTACAGGGCACTTTAGTTTTTTAAAGAAACACGACACGGCTGTTGGATTCTGTTAAAGCTGCTGCACATGCCTGGCCTTCATACCTATGGTCCCTGTTCTATTAACCATTGGAAAATGAAATACTAGGAAAATGACAGGAAAAATACTGTGAAAAATATTTATACAATGAAATAAATAAATGTAAATCACTGTGTTTTCTACTTTATCACGTAATGCACTGGCAGAAAGTGGCAGTTCCACTGGTTACAGGTGTTAAAAAACACACAAATCTCAGTCCTCCGGGCCTCACCTTGACTCACTCATAAGTACCACCTTGTTAACGCCACCGGCCCCAGAGCCCGCTTTCTCCACACATCCATTAGTGGAAGACATGGTGGCCTTCTCTGACCAGCTGCATTAGCAGGAAACTGGACTTCATGTTAGATCTCAACACACTTCCTTCCATCGCTAACAAAGACAGGAAGTGTGTCTTTGGGCTTGCAGAACTAGGGCTGGGCGATATATAGAATTTGAATGCCTGTTTCGCAACAAGTTAAAAAATAAATAATAATGAGCGTTCAATGTATTTTTAGTCTCGTCTCCTTCCCTCCCTCTGTACTGTGTCCACTGTGAACCTTCCCACTCCACAGACACCAAGCCCCTCCCTCTGTACTGTGTCCACTGTGAACCTTCCCACTCCACAGACACCAAGCCCCTCCCTCTGAACTGTGTCCACTGTGAACCTTCCCACTCCACAGACACCAAGCCCCTCCCTCTGTACTGTGTCCACTGTGAACCTTCCCACTCCAGACACCAAGCCCCTCCCTCTGAACTGTGTCCACTGTGAACCTTCCCACTCCACAGACACCAAGCCCCTCCACCTGCCACTCACAACAAAATACAACTTCTTCCTCTGACAAGCAGTTTAAACTGCCTATTTCCATTTGAGGTTTGGTCCAACAGAATGGGTCATATGGACACCAAAACACTGAGACGTTATTCTGTAATACACAAGAACTGGACCTTTCTAACGATACCCTTTTTATGTCTCAACTCCCCAAAATGTAGAACAGCGCAGACCCTAATCAAACTAGAGCATCACTGAACATGACTGGAAAATTAATACTCAGTTTCTGTCATGTGAGGAATTGCAGTACCAAGTACAGCTAGCAGCATTTTAGCCACAGACTTATGCGCTAGCTGTCTAGTCTGTTTAATAAACGTCCATAAAAATAAAAATAAACTGGAAACGTGTTTTCATTCTGAGAAATAAGCATCTTATACAGGCAGGCCATTTGATTTCAACATCTAAACAAATTGAACAGGCTATTTTCAAAACAGATGGGAGAGGGGCAGGAGGGTGTATTCATAATAGTTTAAATGTTCTACCTTGTTAGCAAGCAAATAGATCCAAGTTGGCTCAACTTGATATAATGATTAGCTGGCTACTCACTAGCAGGTGGGCTGGTGCTCGAGACTGCTCATGAGATCTGTGTTATTGTTCTACACCGCCTGCTACCAGAGGTCGGTCAGTACACCGCCTGCTACCAGAGGTCGGTCAGTACACCGCCTGCTACCAGAGGTCGGTCAGTACACCGCCTGCTACCAGAGGTCGGTCAGTACACCGCCCTGCTACCAGAGGTCGGTCAGTACACCGCCTGCTACCAGAGGTCGGTCAGTACACCGCCTGCTACCAGAGGTCGGTCAGTACACCGCCTGCTACCAGAGGTCGGTCAGTACACCGCCTGCTACCAGAGGTCGGTCAGTACACCGCCTGCTACCAGAGGTCGGTCAGTACACCGCCTGCTACCAGAGGTCGGTCAGTACCGCCTGCTACCAGAGGTCGGTCAGTACACCGCCTGCTACCAGAGGTCGGTCAGTACACTGCTGCTACCAGAGGTCGGTCAGTACACTGCCTGCTACCAGAGGTCGGTCAGTACACTGCCTGCTACCACTGCCTGCTACCAGAGGTCGGTCAGTACACTGCCTGCTACCAGAGGTCGGTCAGTACACTGCCTGCTACCAGAGGTCGGTCAGTACACTGCCTGCTACCAGAGGTCGGTCAGTACACTGCCTGCTACCAGAGGTCGGTCAGTACACTGCCTGCTACCAGAGGTCGTCAGTACACCGCCTGCTACCAGAGGTCGGTCAGTACACCGCCTGCTACCAGAGGTCGGTCAGTACCACTGCCTGCTACCAGAGGTCGGTCAGTACACTGCCTGCTACCAGAGGTCGGTCAGTACACCGCCTGCTACCAGAGGTCGGTCAGTACACCGCCTGCTACCAGAGGTCGGTCAGTACACCGCCTGCTACCAGAGGTCGGTCAGTACACTGCCTGCTACCAGAGGTCGGTCAGTACACTGCCTGCTACCAGAGGTCGGTCAGTACACTGCCTGCTACCAGAGGTCGGTCAGTACACCGCCTGCTACCAGAGGTCGTCAGTACACCGCCTGCTACCAGAGGTCGGTCAGTAGAGGAGGAAGTGTATGGTTCTGGTAACATTTGGAACAAAAGGCAATTTTCATAGACAGACTTGAAAGCCAGATCAGTGATTATTGCAACAAAATATTTTGACAAAATAATTAAATGATTAGTTGGTCTTAGGGTTGTGGGAGGCTTATATTTAGCCTAGGTCTAATTTTATAAGCCCTGAATTCATTTGATTATTCATGACTGTTTGAAATGCAGTGTATTGACATTTAAATTGTGCAACAAAGCTTATTTAGAAAAACACTTACATAAAAATAAAAAATCTCACACACAGTACCAGTCAAAAGTTTGGACACCTACTCATTCAAGGGTTTTTCTTTATTTTTTACTATTTTCTACATTGTAGAATAATAGTGAAGACATCAAAACTATGAAATAACACATATGGCATCATGTAGTAACCAAAAAAAGTGTTAAACAAATCTAAATATATTTTATATTTGAGATTCAAATAGCCACCCTTTGCCTTGATGACAGCTTTGCACACTCTTGGCATTCTCTCAACCAGCTTCATGAGGTAGTCACCTGGAATGCATTTCAATTAACAGGTGTGCCTTGTTAAAAGTGAATTAGTGGAATATTTTCCTTCTTAATGCGTTTGAGCCAATCAGTTGTGTTATGACAATGTAGGGGTGGTATACAGAAGATAGTATTTTACCAAATAGGGCTAAGTCCATATTATGGCAAGAACGGCTCAAATAAGCGTAGAGAAACGACAGTCCATCATTATTTTAAGACATGAAGGTCAGTCAATCCGGAATATTTCAAGAACTTTGAAAGTTTCAAATGCAGTCGCAAATATTTTTTGATAAAACTAGCTCTCATGAGGACCGCCACAGGAAAGGAAGACCCAGAGTTACCTCTGCTGCAGAGGATAAGTTCATTAGAGTTAACTGCACCTCAGATTGCAGCCCAAATAAATGCTTCACAGACTTCAAGTAACAGATACATCTCAACATCAACTGTTCAGAGGAGACTGTGTGAATCAGGCCTTCATGGACGAATTGCTGCAAAGAAACCACTACTAAAGGACACCAATAAGAAGATGATACTTGCTTGGGCCAAGAAACACAAGCAATGGACATTAGACTGGTGGAAACCTGTCCTTTGGTGTGATGAGTCCAAATTTGAGATTTTTGGCTCCAACCGCTGTGTCTTTGTGAGACGCAGAGTAGGGGAACGGATGATCTCTGCATGGAGGAGGAGGTGTGATAGTGCTTTGCTGGTGACACTGTCTGTGATTTATTTAGAATTCAAGGCACGCTTAACCAGCATGGCTACCACAGAATTCTGCAGCGATACGCCATCCCATCTGGTTTAAGCTTAGTGGGACTATCATGTGATTTTCAACAGGACAATGACCCAACACACCTCCAGGCTGTGTAAGGGCTATTTGACCAAGAAAGAGTGTGATTACGTGCTGCATCAGATGACCTGGCCTCCACAATCCCCCGACCTTGACCCAATTGAGATGGTTTAGGATGAGTTGGACCGCAGAGTGAAGGAAAAGCAGCCAACAAGTGCTCAGGATATGTGGGAACTCCTAAAATATATTTTGATTTGTTTAACACTTTTCTGGTTACTACATGATTCCATACGTGTTATTTCATAGTTGATGACTTCACTATTATTCTACAATGTAGAAAATAGTAAAAATAAAGAAAAACCCTTGAATGAGTAGGTGTGTCCAAACTTTTGACTGGTAGTGTATATAATGTATTTTCCAACTGTCCCAATATCTTTTCCAGCTGTACCATTAACTGGTTTTAAAATGTCCATTCTAGAATGCCCTTCTAACCAATCAGAAACAAGTATTCAACAATGCTGTGGTATAATATAAATTAAAGGAAACCATATCTGGCACGCAGATAGGTAGGAATGTTAAGATAAATTGGTATTCCACATGAGAAAGGTTGCCGACTCCTCGTGTAGCCTATTAGCTGCAACTTCAGGAGAGTAACGACAAACTCCGCGAAAGCCAGCAGGAGGATGGTCGGGTCAGGTTAAGGTTATTTTCTTCTGGTTATCTAGATCTCTGGCTCCCTTTTGAGTCATTTGTGACTTAATTTCATCAAACAGTGTGCTTCAGCATTAGACAAGATCAATACATATAGTTGATTTTATTAGAAACACAAGATGTGTCTATGGAAGTTTAAAAATTGACCAATTTCGATACACCAAGATGTTTTTGTAGTTGGGGACAGCCCTAATGTAAATAAATGTTTTATGCATGCTTATGGTGTTACACTTATCACGTCGATAATGTTTGTTGGTTTTATGCCATGGTCAACGGCAGCTGGGACCGTGTGTGGAGGCACCAGTCGCTTGACTAGAGGGACAAGACGGCGTACTCAGCAGGGAACTCTGCCATATTCCGGTGCTGCCAGTTGGGGGTGTGTGTTGGGGAGTGACCCTGCCTGCTGCCAGTTGGGGGGTGTTTTCATATATTTAATTTTTTTTCATTTAGCAGACGCTCTTATCCAGAGCGACTTACAGGAGCAATTAGGGTTAAGTGCCTTGCTCAAGGGCAACATCGACAGATTTTTCACCTAGTCGGCTTGGGGATTAGAACCAGCGACCTTTCAGTTACTGCCACTACGCTCTTAACCACTAAGCTACCTGCCGCCCGTGTGTGTGTGTGTGTGTTGGGAAGTGACCCAGCCTGCTGCCAGTTGGGGGTGGGTGGTTTGGTGGCCTCCCCATTGCGGGTAGCTATGCAAACGCTGAATGGGCGTCAGGGATTAGTACACAGATGCTAGGGCCACTGCTTCGCTCACACACACACAGCGTCCGCAACATGTGCCTGAGTCAGCAGCGAGCTGAAACTCATTTGTAGCCTAACCCTGCACTCCGTATACTCCTGCATGTAATCCATTTCCAATTGAATCAACAAATGATAACAGTAACACCAAGTTTCATGTCGGCCACACTGATGCCGTCAGCTGATGTGTGCAGGCAGTGTCTCCAGGGCTTGGGGGGTGGGGGGTGGGGGGGGGGTGGGGGGGTGGTGCTACCCTCATTTCCTTTCTTCAAACGACCAGCCATCTGCCTGAGGAACCAGACTTAAAATGACAGCAGGAGCTAAGTAACAATAGCTTTTTCAAAACAATAACACAAGTCTTTGTACAGATAATTACGTCACATTTGGGGCGGCAGGCAGGAGCCGGGGTTTGGCCAGGGGCTTTACTTGGCTCATCGCGCTCAGTAGAAAGGCCTCTTTAGTGTCTCAAGTTTTCATAACTGTGACCTTAATTGCCTACCGTCTGTAAGCTGTTAGTGTCTTAACGACCGTTCCACAGGTGCATGTTCATTAATTGTTTATGGTTCATTGAACAAGCATAGGACACAGTGTTTAAACCCTTTACAATGAAGATCTGTGAAGTTATTTGGATTTTTTTATCTTTGAAAGACAGGGTCCTGAAAAGTAAATAAAAAAAAAATAATATATATATATATATATATATATACACACACACATAAAATTGCAACCCGCAGTTAGAAAATATCCGGATGAAAATAAATATCTTAAAAATCACATTGCAGACAGGCCATGCATAGCCAACGAATTTGAAACATTTGGGTCCGGCCTGAAGCTTGCTAGCAAACTTGCAACATTGTATAAAATATTCTGGGCCCACAGTATTCCCCAGACAACAGCTGTAGGCTAAGGATAAGAAGTAATCAGGAAGGCCTATTTTAATGACATTTCCACCGGATCAGAGCATTACTGTGTTTTCCCCTTTCACGCTGAGTGGTTATTGAAAGGGAGAGAGCTGGAAAGATTTTCAAATAGGCTACGCTGAGGAACTATTGTCATTCTCAATGGATGTAAAAACAGACTTCATTTACCACTTCATGTGGTCCTCTGTAGCTCAGCTGGTAGAGCACGGCGCTTGTAACGCCAAGGTAGTGGGTTCGATCCCCGGGACCACCCATACACACACAAAAATGTATGCTAATCTCCGAGCCGACTAGGTGAAAAATCTGTCGATGTGCCCTTGAGCAAGGCACTTAACCCTAATTGCTCCTGTAAGTCGCTCTGGATAAGAGCGTCTGCTAAATGACAAAAATGTTTTTTTTTTTTATGTAATTCAATGCGTTTGTATGAGACTATAGCAGTAAGGCTCCATTTTTTATATATATATTTTTGATACTTCAACAGGTCTTAAAATTCAAAATCTAACAGCAAAATGATCCTTGGTATGACCTTAAAACAATTTCCTATAGCTTTAGGAGAACACCCACCCCCTCCCCCGGCTTACACTCTTAAGGTTCAAAGTTCCTGAGCTGTTTTTATTTTACCTACCGAGAAACGTTTATCTCCAGAGTACAAGCCAGGGATGTGATCTGATCACGTTGGTGAACTGCTTTAGAAGAGGACATTCCACACTAGCAGAGAAACAACTTATGTAACCAGCAGCAGCCCACTTGAGGACAAAGGACCGTTTCAAATTCCTCGGCCCAGTAGGAGACGTACAGAACATGGCAGCGTCCTATTCCCTACATAGTGCACTACTTTTGACCAGAGCCCTGTGAGTCCGGGTCAAAAGTAGTGCGCGATATATAGCGGATAGGGTGCCATTTGGGACGTGGCCCATGTGAAAACAATACTACATAAACACCACCCCTCCCTGGTTCACAAAGGGGGTCGTTCCTTTTCCTCCTGCAGGTTGTACATTCTGTTCATGGCATTGGATGAAAGAGGAGAACATGACCACCCACCCTTGGCTGTGATTGGCTGACAGAGACATGCCGGGGTACTGAACAATCACAAGAGGAAGTTTCTGTGCTGAGTTAGCAGCTGGCTGCAGGACAAAAGACCACAGCGCCAACTGTCCTGGAGGGTTTTAACTAAAACACTGGCTACAGGGAAAGACCACAGCGCCAACTGTCCTGGAGGGCTTTAACTAAAACACTGGCTACAGGGCACACCACGCAGTGATAATCAGATCTCACAGCTACCAAAACAACAGAAATCTGAGGCAGCAAAAAGCTATGCCAAAATACTAAAAACAAAACATACCTAACCACCTCAAGTCTTCCCACTCTGCCTAGATATTTCCCAACAGTCTGAATGAAGGGAAGTTTGTGTATATGACAAATAGTTGTGGCTGGCTGATGACAAACAGTGAGAATATCTGAGGTTGCATCCCAAATGGCACCCTATTCCCTATATAGTGCACTACTTTAGACCAGAGAATGGTACCCTATTCCCTATATAGTGCACTACTTTAGACCAGAGAATGGCACCCTATTCCCTATATAGTGCACTACTTTAGACCAGAGAATGGTACCCTATTCCCTATATAGTGCACTACTTTAGACCAGAGAATGGTACCCTATTCCCTATATAGTGCACTACTTTAGACCAGAGAATGGCACCCTATTCCCTATATAGTGCACTACTTTAGACCAGAGAATGGTACCCTACTCCCTATATAGTGCACTACTTTAGACCAGAGAATGGTACCCTATTCCCTATATAGTGCACTACTTTAGACCAGAGAATGGTACCCTATTCCCTATATAGTGCACTACTTTAGACCAGAGAATGGCACCCTATTCCCTACATAGTGCACTACTTTAGACCAGAGCCCTATCCCTGGTCAATACTGCACCGTTTGGGATGCAGCTTAGGGTTAAGTTCTCCAGGTAGCAGAGAATGAAAAGTCACATGGTCTCCAGTCCCTAGTTTAGTTCCAGACGTAGGTAAGAGCAGAGTGCAACGCGTGCCCTGTCAGCGGTCTGAGCCTTGTGTTGATATTCAACCCCTGACACCCTACAACATTAACAAGGTACTGTATACTATCTATACTAACTAGGGCGGTGGAGGCAGTCAAATTCCACGTGACCGTTTAGTCACGGTAACTAGGCTTCTCCAAGCTCTGATGCTGCTGATGGTCATTAGTAGCCTACCCAACTTGCTAACTATATAATATATAATATAATATAATATAATATAATATATATAATATAATATATATAATATGCCATTTAGCAGACGCTTTTATCCAAAGCGACTTACAGTCATGTGTGCATACATTTTTGTGTATGGGTGGTCCCGGGGATCGAACCCACTACCTTGGCGTTACAAGCGCCGTGCTCTACCAGCTGAGCTACCAGCTACTACTGCCTGGTACTCAGCACTCTATTGTCCCTCTAATCACTCTGACATCAATGCAAATGTAAATCGAAAATCTAATCAAACACTTCATGAGAGCCCATGAGCTCATGTTGCCCAGCATTTCTATAGGCTGTGCAATTGCGTGAGAAAACAGAGTGATGGCCTCTATTAAAAAGAGGAGGATCCCATCAGCTTTCTATAGGCTAGGCCTACTATATTTATTTATCAACTTTCCTAATTTTAAGCACATTGTTTATCTTTCCAACAGGAGTATAGCCTACCTGGCTGGCATGGAAATTAACCACAGGAAAAGCCTCCTCCATTTAAGTGCATATATGACGTGTATTTTTTCCCGTGCATGATAATGGTCCATTCTAAATCTATATTATTTAGTATATGTAAAGACGAGATTAAATAAAGAAGTCTGATGGTTGACAATATTAGCCTATCACTTGTGAATTATATATTATCACTTGTGAATGATGCCCAGCATCCAGGCTCTGTCGTAGCCGGCCGCGACCGGGAGACCCACGGGGCAGTGCACAATTGGCCCAGCGTCGTCCAGGGTAGGGGAGGGAATGGATGGGCAGGGATGTAGCTCAGTTGGTAGAGCATGGTGTTTGCAACGCCAGGGTTGTGGGTTCGATTCCCACGGGGGGCCAGCATGATTAAAAAAAAAAATTATGCACTCACTAACTGTAAGTCGCTCTGGATAAGAGCGTCTGCTAAATGACTAAAAATGTAAATAAGAAAATGCCTTTTGTTAGCGACTTTTTCGAATCAAAGTCGCACACCTCATGTAGCCGAGCCTATATGTTTTGATAAGGTTTGTATCACAACTACACTGGCCAAATAACATAACATTAAGCCATTAATCCGCTTTATAAGGGGTTTAGAGCCTAACTGGCATACATACGCAGCGCGTCAGTTTCAAGTTTGGGGAAAGTCATTTCCACCATAAAAATGCACCTTTATAATAAAAGCATTACATGCATAATCGCATGTGCAGTCACTTTTGATAATGGTGTTTTCCTGCTAATGGAACATTCACGCTTATAGCCCACTGCCATGTGGGCGCATTGCTGCACTTATAAATGTGAAGAAATAGCCTAATAGTTTATCAACATTTTAAGCTAAACGTTCTGATCTGTTGCGTCAGCCACATTGCGTAAATTCTTTTGTTTTATGATAGCGGTAGTAATAATTTGTGATCTATCACATCCCACAACGGGAGTGGAGAAGAGGAGGATAAGAGTGGAGAAGAGGAGGAGAAGAGTAGAGGGGAAGGTCATTCGAACCTTGACAGCATATTCCTTCTGGGTGATGAGGTTGATACAGGTCTGGACGACAGCATAGGCCCCCTCTCCCAGCACCTCCATCTGTAGCATGTATACGTCTGATGACAAAATATTAACATCTAAGCTATGAAAATAAATACAGCGTCGCACACTCGATATGTACAGTGCATTCGGAAAGTATTCAGACCTTCCCCTTTTCCACATTTTGTTACGTTACAGCCTTATTCTAACAAGTATTATATAGTTTTTTCCCCCTCATCAATCTACACACAAAACCCTATTACATTTACGTCATTTAGCAGACCTATAATGGCGAATGATAATTTATTACAAATAAAAAACAGAAATACCTTATTTAAATAAGTATTCAGACCCATTGCTATGAGACTCGAAATTAAGCTCAGGTGCATCCTGTTTCCATTGATCATCCTTTGAGATGTTTCTACAACTTGATTGGAGTCCACCTGTGGTAAATTCAATAGAATTGTCCGTAGAGCTCCGAGACAGGATTGTGTCGAGGAACAGATCTGGGGAAGGGTACCCAAAAATGTCTGCAGCATTCAAGGTCCCCAAGAACACAGTGGCCTCCATCATTCTTGAACGGAAGAAGTTTGGAAACATCTAGACTATTCCTAGAGATGGCCGCCCTAAGGAGGTGACCAAGAACCCGATGGTCACTGAGAGTTCCAGAGTTCCTCTGTGGAGATGGGAGAACCTTCCAGAAGGACAACCATCTCTGCAGCACTCCACCAATCAGGCCTTTATGGGTAGAGTGGCCAGACGGAAGCCACTCCTCAGTAAAAGGCACATGACAGCCCACTTGGAGTTTGCCAAAAGGCACCTAAAGGACTCTCAGACCATGAGAAACAGGATTCTCTGGTCTGATGAAACCAAGATTGAACTCTTTGGCCTGAATGCCAAGCATCACGTCTGGAGGAAACCTGGCACCATCCCTACGGTGAAGCATGGTGGTGGCAGCATCATGCTGTGGGAATGTTTTTCAGCGGAAGGGACTGGGAGACTAGTCAGGATCGAGGCAAAGATGAACGGAGCAAAGTACAGAGAGATCCTTGATGAAAACCTGCTCCAGAGCGCTCAGGACCTCAGACTTGGGGCAAAGGTTCACCTTCCAACAGGTCAACGACCCTAAGCACACAGCCAAGACAACGCAGGAGTGGCTTTGGGACAAGTCTCTGAATGTCCTTGAATGGCCCAGCCAGAGCCCGGACTTGAACCCAATCGAACATCTCTGGAGAGACCTGAAAATAGCTGTGCAGCGACGCTCCCCATCCAACCTGACAGAGCTTGAGAGGATCTGCAGAGAAGAACGGGAGAAACTCCCCAAATACAGGTGTGCCAAGCTTGTAGCGTCATACCCAAGAAGACTCTAGGCTGTAATCAACAAAGTACTGAGTATAGGGTCTGAACACCTACAGTGGGGAAAAAAAGTATTTAGTCAGCCACCAATTGTGCAAGTTCTCCCACTTAAAAATATGAGAGATGCCTGTAATTTTCATCATAGGTACACGTGAACTATGACAGACAAATTGAGGGAAAAAAATCCAGAAAATCACATCGTAGGATTTTTAATGAATTTATTTGCAAATTATGGTGGAAAATAAGTATTTGGTCACCTACAAACAAGCAAGATTTCTGGCTCTCACAGACCTGTAACTTCTTCTTTAAGAGGCTCCTCTGTCCTCCACTCGTTACCTGTATTAATGGCACCTGTTTGAACTTGTTATCAGTATAAAAGACACCTGTCCACAACCTCAAACAGTCACACTCCAAACTCCACTATGGCCAAGACCAAAGAGCTGTCAAAGGAAACCAGAAACAAAATTGTAGACCTGCACCAGGCTGGGAAGACTGAATCTGCAATAGGTAAGCAGCTTGGTTTGAAGAAATCAACTGTGGGAGCAATTATTAGGAAATGGAAGACATACAAGACCACTGATAATCTCCCTCGATCTGGGGCTCCACGCAAGATCTCACCCCTTGGGGTCAAAATGATCACAAGAACGGTGAGCAAAAATCCCAGAACCACACGGGGGGACCTAGTGAATGACCTGCAGAGAGCTGGGACCAAAGTAACAAAGCCTACCATCAGTAACACACTACGCCGCCAGGGACTCAAATCCTGCAGTGCAAGACGTGTCCCCCTGCTTAAGCCAGTACATGTCCAGGCCCGTCTGAAGTGCATTTGGATGATCCAGAAGAGGATTGGGAGAATGTCATATGGTCAGATGAAACCAAAATATAACTTTTTGGTAAAAACTCAACTCGTCATGTTTGGAGGACAAAGAATGCTGAGTTGCATCCAAAGAACACCATACCTACTGTGAAGCATGGGGGTGGAAACATCATGCTTTGGGGCTGTTTTTCTGCAAAGGGACCAGGACGACTGATCCGTGTAAAGGAAAGAATGAATGGGGCCATGTATCGTGAGATTTTGAGTGAAAACCTCCTTCCATCTGCAAGGGCATTGAAGATGAAATGTGGCTGAGTCTTTCAGCATGACAATGATCCCAAACACACCGCCCGGGCAACGAAGGAGTGGCTTCGTAAGAAGCATTTCAAGGTCCTGGAGTGGCCTAGCCAGTCTCCAGATCTCAACCCCATAGAAAATCTTTGGAGGGAGTTGAAAGTCTGTGTTGCCCAGCGACAGCCTCAAAACATCACTGCTCTAGAGGAGATCTGCATGGAGGAATGGGCCAAAATACCAGAAACAGTGTGTGAAAACCTTGTGAAGACTTACAGAAAACGTTTGACCTGTGTCATTGCCAACAAAGGGTATATAACAAAGTATTGAGAAACTTTTGTTATTGACCAAATACTTATTTTCCACCATCATTTGCAAATAAATTCATAAAAAATCCTACAATGTGATTTTCTGGATTATTTTTTCTATGTAAATGTGATATTTCCATTTTTTGCTTTGTCATTATGAGGTATTGTGTGTAATAATATAATATAATAATATGCCATTTAGCAGACGCTTTTATCCAAAGCGACTTACAGTCATGCGTGCATACATTTTTTTTTTTTTGTGTATGGGTGGTCCCCGGGGATCGAACCAACTACCTTGGCGTTACAAGCGCCGTGCTCTACCAGCTGAGCTACAGAGGACCACAGATTGATGAGGGAAAAAAACTATTTAATCCATTTTAGAATAAGGCTGTAACGTAACAGAATGTGGAAGAAGTCAAGGGGTCTGAATACTTTCCGAATGCACTGTATATAAACTCCCAGTAATGTATTGGGTAAGAAGTGATGCAGAAACGTTGGTGGTTTACCCAATACATTACTGGGAGAGAGATTATATACATACACACACAGAGAGATTATATACACACACATACAGAGAGATCATACACACACACACAGAGAGAGATTATATACACACACACAGAGAGATTATTTTCATAGTTTACAGTCTATTCGCCATTAGTCAGCACCTCTACACTTAATAATTGTCTCTGGGTGTGCCCCAGCTCATACTTTTTATTAAAATATTAACATCTGACAGAAAACAACAAATAAATGCTCTAGATAAACGCTAGTTTGTTTGGTACATTTGTTAAAAGTAAAGGTTGGGGATAAAGGAACAACACTGTGCTTATATGTGTATGTATATATTATGGATTATTATATAGCTTATTCACATGCCTTGAATAGACAGTGGATGGTTTTCTAGTGACTTGCCTTGGAATCGTCCAGTGAAGCTGTCGGTGGCCCTGCACCTCTTCTTCTTCTTGGTCCTCTTCTTGGCATCTGGGATGTTGATAGGCTGGCTGGCTGGCATGTCTATGGAAGGAGGAGGACAGGAGATGAGGGACATTGTGCAAACAGGGACAGTTGATGGCATTAATCCAGAGTCACAGGCCAGCTGGCTGAGTGTCATGTCTTTGGAAGACAGAGGGAGAGAGGGGATAGGAGAGAGAGAGAGGGGATAGGAGAGAGAGAGAGGGGATAGGAGAGAGAGAGAGAGGGGATAGGAGAGAGAGAGGGGATAGGAGAGAGGAGAGAGAGGGGTAGGAGAGGGGATAGGAGAGAGGGGATAGGAGAGAGAGAGAGGGGGATAGGAGAGAGAGAGGGGGATAGGAGAGAGAGGGGGGATAGGAGAGAGGAGGGGGGATAGGAGAGAGAGGGGGGATAGGGAGAGAGGGGGGGGATAGGGAGAGAGGGGGGGATAGGAGGAGAGAGGGGGGATAGGGAGAGAGGAGGGGGGATAGGGAGAGAGGGGGGGATAGGGGAGAGAGGGGGGGGATAGGAGAGAGAGGGGGGATAGGAGAGAGAGGGGGGATAGGAGAGAGGGGAGGGGGAGGATAGGAGAGAGAGGGGGGATAGGAGAGAGGGGGGATAGGAGAGAGGGGGATAGGAGAGAGAGGGGGGATAGGAGAGAGAGGGGGGTAGGAGGAGAGAGGGGGGGATAGGGGGAGGGAGAGAGGGGGGATAGGGGAGAGAAGGGTGATAGGAGAGAGAGAGGGGGGATAGGAGAGAGAGAGGGGGGATAGGAGAGAGAGAGGGGGATAGGGGAGAGAGGGGGGATAGGAGAGAGAGAGGGGGGATAGGAGAGAGAGCTGGGATAGGAGAGAGAGAGAGAGAGGATAGAAGAGAAAGGGGGAGGGGATATAAGAGTGAGGGCACAATAAGACATACTGGGTCCAGACAGGTCCAGTTGTTGTTGGAACTAACAGGGCTGGGCCCAGTAGAACTTAGGCGTGTTTAAATTATGCATCTTTCCTACAACGGCCGAAGATGTAACATGCGTTTCCCAAAACACCACGCAGAGAGAGCGGTCACGAAGTGCGTCGTTGCAGCATTTATAGGAGCGAAAAGGCCTATAGCCAACTGTCATCTCTTTTTGCATCAATTGTGCAAAGACATGAAAACTATATATTTGTAGTCAACTTTGTTCTGAAGTTATCGGTGGTCACAGAGACAGACAAAACATGTGATTCTATGTTTAGCGAAGATCTTCTGTGTATAAGTGACACTGCATGTAATGACTCAATTAGCTGTTCTACGAGTGGTCTGAGGAAGGCGTTAGATTTCAAGTGCAACGTTAATAACGATGGTTTTGGGAAACAACGCAGAGATATAACGATGCTCCTACAAAGATTATAATGATGAATTTAGCCTTAAGATGGTTTTGGGAAACCAGGCCCAGGCCAGTTGTTGTGACGGTGGTTCTGTTATCAGGCAGGTGAAAGCAGCAGAGGTAGTATATGATATGCCAGCGTCACCCCTCTAATCAGGACTGAACTTTGACTGACAGAGACATAGTGATGATATCCTCATAGGAAGGTTACTACGGGTCAGGTGGCCCGTGTGTGTTGTGTTAAAATCAAAATCAGGGACAGTAAATTCCAAATCAAAAGAAACTTACCAGGTCTTGGGGGACAATCTAAATGTAAGTTTGACTCGTGGAGATGGGAGTCTGGTTTGTTGTAATCTTCAGAATTGAAAGGGTTTTGGACCTGAAGGAGGGACAGAACAGAACCAGACAAGGCTTTGAGTTAGACACAGCCTAGAGGAGAGTCATTTACATCACAGCCTAGAGGAGAGTCATTTACATCACAGCCTAGATGAGAGTCATTTACATCACAGCCTAGAGGAGAGTCATTTACATCACAGCCTAGAGGAGAGTCATTTACATCACAGCCTAGAGGAGAGTCATTTACATCACAGCCTAGAGGAGAGTCATTTACATCACAGCCTAGAGGAGAGTCATTTACATCACAGCCTAGAGGAGAGTCATTTACATCACAGCCTAGAGGAGAGTCATTTACATCACAGCCTAGAGGAGAGTCATTTACATCACAGCCTAGAGGAGAGTCATTTACATCACAGCCTAGAGGAGAGTCATTTACATCACAGCCTAGAGGAGAGTCATTTACATCACAGCCTAGAGGAGAGTCATTTACATCACAGCCTAGAGGAGAGTCATTTACATCACAGGGCCATATGAAGCAGTAGGAATGACTACACATTGCACCACTGGCCAAGGGACCGATTTAGTCCAAACCAACTCCTCTTCAGACCCTGCCTGACCTCTGGGTTAAACTAAACATATCCTTCTCCCGACGCCCCGGGACCTCTGGGTTAAACTAAACAGATCCTTCTCCCGACGCCCCGGGACCTCTGGGTTAAACTAAACAGATCCTTCTCCCGACGCCCGGGACCTCTGGGTTAAACTAAACAGATCCTTCTCCCGACGCCCCGGGACCTCTGGGTTAAACTAAACAGATCCTTCTCCCGACGCCCCGGGACCTCTGGGTTAAACTAAACAGATCCTTCTCCCGACGCCCCGGGACCTCTGGGTTAAACTAAACAGATCCTTCTCCCGACGCCCCGGGGTTAAACTAAACTGATCCTTCTCCCGACGCCCCGGGACCTCTGGGTTAAACTAAACAGATCCTTCTCCCGACGCCCCGGGACCTCTGGGTTAAACTAAACAGATCCTTCTCCCGACGCCCCGGGACCTCTGGGTTAAACTAAACAGATCCTTCTCCCGACGCCCCTGGACCACTGGGTTAAACTAAACAGATCCTTCTCCCGACGCCCCGGGACCTCTGGGTTAAACTAAACAGATCCTTCTCCCGACGCCCCGGGACCTCTGGGTTAAACTAAACAGATCCTTCTCCCGACGCCCCGGGACCTCTGGGTTAAACTAAACAGATCCTTCTCCTGACGCCCCGGGCCATACTTAGGTTGTCATCGCCAAGAGAGGCCCGTAGAAGAAGCAGAGCAATAGAGCTCTATGACAAACGTTTAACCAATATTAGACCTCTGATTAATTGATTAAAAAGGGCATTTGATAACGACAGGGTGGGGGGGGATATGGTCCAATGACTAACCTACCTGCTAAACGGTTCCGTTTGCATCACTGAGCAGTGAACAAGAAACTATTAAAATGACAATGTTTGATGCTACCCCCCCCCTCCAAATTCAACCAGAGAGCGCCCTTAGGTCAACCAGAGAGCGCCCTTAGGTCAACCAGAGAGCGCCCTTAGGTCAACCAGAGAGCGCCCTTAGGTCAACCAGAGAGCGCCCTTAGGTCAACCAGAGAGCGCCCTTAGGTCAACCAGAGAGCGCCCTTAGGTCAACCAGAGAGCGCCCTTAGGTCAACCAGAGAGCGCCCTTAGGTCAACCAGAGAGCGCCCTTAGGTCAACCAGAGAGCGCCCTTAGGTCAACCAGAGAGCGCCCTTAGGTCAACCAGAGAGCGCCCTTAGGTCAACCAGAGAGCGCCCTTAGGTCAACCAGAGAGCGCCCTTAGGTCAACCAGAGAGCGCCCTTAGGTCAACCAGAGAGCGCCCTTAGGTCAACCAGAGCGCGCCCTTAGGTCAACCAGAGAGCGCCCTTAGGTCAACCAGAGAGCGCCCTTAGGTCATGGGAAAAGGCTGCCCTTGACCGTTCCAACAGTGAATGGCTAGACCCACTACACTATGACACCACACTGCTGCAGAGACTTTGATATAATACCGGACGCAACTGATATGGTGAAAACAACGCGTGGGGAAGCAGAGGCACAGAAGCTCACATCAATACCTTTGTCAGATAACACTGTTAAATGAACAATTTACGCTATTGCTAGCAATCAAGAAGAAACTGACTGAACGACTCAATCTCTCCAGCTTATGTTGTCCAAATGGACGTCAGCTGTGAGGTGCCCATGCATTGACTTTTGTTCGCTATACACGTTGGGGGGGGGTGATGCTATTCACAAGGACATATTGTTCTGTCTCACGATTCCCGAGCATGAAACGGCACAGGGGATGTTCAGTGTGCTATGTTGCTGAAAAACAGATTCCATGGGCTCTAACTGTGGGCTCCATCTATAGCGGGACGGTGGGCAGGCCTCTGCACTCTAGTTATGAATAGGTCTCCCTCTGCCATATGGAGGCATTGAATGATACACCGAGAGCAACTGGCAGCAAAAGAGCTGAGCACAGAACTCTCAGATATACTGCAGCAGGTAACTTCGATTGTAAACTACATCAAACCACATCCACTGCACAAAACTATGTGGAGATATGGGATCAGAGCATGACAATGTTGTATTTCACAACGAGGCTTTGTGGTTATCGAGGGGGAGTATTGGAATGTTTTTCGCATTGACAGATGGAATGTTGTCATTCCCAATAAAAAAAAGATTTAAAAAAGACTTGGTTGACTTTGTGTCACGAAAATAAAACATGCCTCCTTGCCTATGTAACAGAGATATTTGGGAAATTGAACATACTCAACGCAAGCATGCAGGGGAAATACAAAAACATTCTACAGATGAGTGACCGAATCAGTGGATTCAGAGGAAAGATTTCTTATTGGAGAGTCTTTCAAAAACGAACCATGCCCCCTTCCCTCGGCTGTCCATGTTTCTAACAGAAAACAACATCAGTAAGTGTCCCACATGAGTGATGACTGCTCCCCTCCAACACTAGGAAGAGCACTTTGGGACCTACTTCCCAATCCGTCTGACTGTGATCCTGGCTCAGCTGACATCCCGGTAAGTAAAATCAAACAGCTGATCGAGCTGTCATGAGACCGAATGCATTCACGGGTCACTACGGAGGAGTTCTGGTTCCTAACTCAAAGGCAATACCTTGCAGTCACCCCCTGAGCGTTAATGCTGCGTTCAAAACAACTGGGAACTCGGAAATCTCAGACTTCCGACTTAAATGCGTTCAAGACAACTGGGAACTGAGGGGAAAAACAAGCTCCGACTGGGGAAAAACGTTTTGCACTTTGAATCCAACTCTGAATTCCAACTCGCGACTCTTTCTAGAGCTCAGACTTTCCGACCTGAAGATCACTGACGCCATGTATTGACTGCCATAGCCCCAAATATAAAAGTAAACATTGGCTGTCATTTTTTTTTTTATTCACATGGTTGAGGTCGCGAGAATGTTCATATATCAAAACGGGGTTGTTGGCCAAACAAGTTAGGGAACTCCTGCCTTATACCTTTTCTCATTAATGAAGTAATCAGAGGTCTAATATTGGGCTAGGGCAGAAGTGTAACTGTGGTCTCCCTGTACTCTCCCCTGGACGGTATAAATACCTAGCTGTCACTGACTGAAATAACATTGTCTGGGATACTGACTGTGACTGGGATAAAATTAACACAGAATACATGCAATGACTGAGCAACATCCGTTCACAATAATGCAATGCATGTTCCTCCAGCCTTTCAATCAGTTTGGATGGAAACAGTAGTAATCTTCCAAAACAGAAAAAACTAAGCTGGCATGGAACTTAGGCTCTTCAATAATTTTATTAAATTAGGAAACACATTTAGATACTGACTTTCAGAAGCAGTAATTACAAACAGAAACAGTAACTCACCTTAAAAGAGCGGTGGAAGCCAGCATCTTCTGAGGTGACATTCTTATTCTGAACCATTTTGGATGTCGGTCGACGTTAATTCAGCCGATCCACTGATTTAGATTAGGTATCACTGTGGTCCAATGGGAGACACACAGAAGACACGGCAGCTAGATGTGGTCGGTCGGTAGTCTTGACATAGATGGTTGTTGGATGGTTAAACTCTCATTTAATAGGGATTCCTGTGTCAGACAGTAAAACATTGTTACTAGTTGATAAAACCGAGTTGTATCAGCGGTCACACTCCTAACACACGAGCCTCGCTATCTCATTAAAATGAAATTTGAGTGTATTAAACGTTACAATCGAAATGAAATAACACGCAAAGTTATCATTAACACTTGATCGTTTAAACAAACTTATTAAAATAGATTCGTGGCATTGTGAAAGTGCATTCAAATTGTCTACATTACCCGAAGAGTTATCTAGACTGAACTAGCTCGCTTAGCGTCCATTGAACATTCATTGTTTTTAAAAACACGTCATGTTGGCTAACAGTAACGTTAGCTAGACAGGCTAACCAAGCTAGCTAGCTAGATTGCAGTCCGGTTGAAGTTGACTAAACTCTTGACGACTTCGACAACTCGAACATATTCGTACGGTTGATATCCCGAACTTTACGTAATATAATAAAACCAGATATTTCATTTTTGACTTACCCCGTTATTGTCCGTGTTCCTCCAGCCTTGACGCCGTTTAGATGCCAGCCACTGCCTTTGTTGAACGTTGACTGTTTCGAGAAGCGCAGCGCATCGTCGGGGTGCCTGTTTATAACCTCTGCTGATCCCCCGCCCACTCTGCTACGGTTTATCCAATCAGATCGCAGTAAACACTGACCAATATAACATTAGGACACACGCGATAGGATAATTTACCGAGGAGGGCGGAGCACCATTTTTTCATTTGCAACTGCAGTGCAACCGACTGCAACCGAGCTGCACGTTATCGGAGCCTAGTTTCATCCGGTTACATCCGTGGCATGTTTTCGAATAAGCAGTGGTGTCATTAGGCAATCTGATACGAGTTTCCATAACCACGCATCACTTGTGCTATGCAGTATTTTAAAAAACATGTTTTACTGACAAAAATAAACAATACTGCGCTAGGCATTAGCAGGCACTGCAAGAAGCCCCTGGAGTGACACGGTGCCTGTTTTCTTATGTTCTTACTTATTCCCTCTGCATTGTTGGGAAAGGGCTCGTCAGTCAGCATTTCACGGTAAAGTCTACACCTGTTGCATTCGATGCATGTGACAAATAATATTTGATATGATTTATTTTTATTTGATTGGTCGAGATTTCACAACGCACTGGACCACTCTCGTCCCTTCACCCCTCCCAAAACCCATACAGTACCGTTTAGACGTCAATGTCAACACTAAGCAAAACGCCAGTCAGTCTGCAGCATAGCACAGAGAACATCTGGTTATTCGGAACTTGTTGTGCAAAGGTGAGACTCTCACGAACACGTCGATTGTTTTGCTCTAGGATGCCCAAAATCCTCACACGACCTTACATTTTAGTCATTTAGCAGACGCTCTTATCCAGAGCGATTTACAGGAGCAATTAGGGTTAAGTGCCTTGCTCAAGGGCACATCGACAGATTTTTCACCTAGTCGGCTCAGAACCAGCGACCTTTCGGTTACTGCCACAACGCTCTTAACCACTAAGCTACCTGCCGCCCACTTGTCTGAAGGTCCCAGGTACCAGTTGGAAAAAACTAATAGAAGTATATATGGAGATACACTCCATGACCAAAAGTATGTGGACACCTGCTGGTCAAACATCTCATTCAAAATTCATGGGCATTAATATGGAGTTGGTCCCCCCCTTTGCTGCTATAACAGCCTCCACTCTTCTGGGAAGGTTTTCCACTAGATTCTGGAACATTGCTGCAGGGACTTGCTTCCATTCAGCCACAAGAGCATTAGTGAGGCCGGGCACTGATGTTGGGCGATTAGGCCTGGCTCGCAGTCGACGTTCCAATTCATCCCAAAGGTGTTCGATGGGGTTGAGTTAAGGGCTCTGTGCAGGCCAGTCAAGTTCTTCCACACCGAACTCGACAAACCATTTCTGTATGGACCTCGCTTTTGGCACGGGGGTATTGTCATGCTGAAACAGGAAAGGGCCTTCCCCAAACTGTTGCCACAAAATTGGAAGCACAGAATTGTCTAGAAAGTCATTGTATGCTGTAGCGTTAAGATTTCCCTTCACTGGAACTAAGGGGCCTAGCCCAAACCATGAAAAACAGACCCAGACCATTATTCCTCCTCTACCAAACTTTACAGTTGGCACTATGCATTGGGCCAGGTAGCGTTCTCCTGGCATCCGCCAAACCCAGATTTGTCTGTCGGACTGCCAGATGGTGAAGCGTGATTCATCACTCCAGAGAACACGTTTCCAGAGTCCAATGGCGGCGAGCTTTACACCACTCCAGCCGACGCTTGGCATTCTGCATGGTGATCTTAGGCTTGTGTGCGGCTGCTCAGCCATGGAAACCCATTTCATTAAGCTCCCGACTAACTGTTATTGTGCTGACGTTGCTTCCAGTGGCAGTTTGGAACTCGGTAGTGAGTGTTGCAACCGCGCATCAGCATTCGGCGGTCCCGTTCTGTGAGCTTGTGTGGCCTACCACTTCGCGGCTGAGCCGTTGTTGCTCTTAGACGTTTCCACTTCTCAATAACCGCACTTACAGTTGACCGGGGCAGCTCTAGCAGGGCAGAACTGACTTGTTGGAAAGGTGGTATCCTATGACAGTGCCACGTTGAAAGTCACTGAGCTCTTCAGTAAGGCCATTTTACATTTACATTTTAGTCATTTAGCAGACACTCTTATCCAGAGCGACTTACAGTTAGTGAGTGCATACAATTATTTATTTTTTCATACATTCTACTGCCAGTGTTTGTCTATGGAGATTGCATGGCAGTGTGCTCGAATTTTATACACCTGTCATTTGACTGAAATAGCCAACTCCACTAATTTGAAGAGGTGTGCAAATACTTTTGTATATATAGTGTCCTGTAATGCCTAAAATAAGGGGATAAATAAACTTCAAAATTAGATTTTTTGGGGACTATCTGTTCCATGTAGTGTATCTGTTATTCAATGTGTTTCTATTGGCTAATAGCAGTAACACCAAATTCAATGTTTTATCCAAAATCTTTTTTAAAAATATATATACCTTAAGGGGTCTTACAATTCTAAGTCAAATAGCTAAATGATCCTTGCTATGACCATCATAAAACAATTTCATAGCTTAGTAGAAACCAACTCACGTTTTAACTTGGTCCGCTTGCATTTCTTAATGAACCAAATCTGAAATTAGGCCAAATCAGCAAGTGCAGTCACCCTTTAAAACGAACGAATGACATGTTGCACCTCTACCTTGCTACCTTTCAGACGGACCAAGGAGGAGGGCAGATGAGAACAGCAGGCCAGTGGAGAACTTAGAACAGCAGCAGCCAGAGGCAACTGGTAGGGAAGATGATTATATAGGTGACCCAGACACAGGCCCAACTGGTAGGGAAGATGATTATATAGGTGACCCAGACACAGGCCCAACTGGTAGGGAAGATGATTATATAGGTGACCCAGACACAGGCCCAAAGGAGGTTAAAGGACAATTCCACCACTTTATACCCAGTTATTATGCTGTTAGTATATACGCACTTGTAACAGATGTTTAATCGTACTCTCCTTGCGTTGTGTTTAGTTTAAAGAAATCACCCCCGCCAGTGGTCCCAGTTGATCGTTATTTATTATCTGTGATTAAATAGGAAACAGCACGTTAGTTGTGCAGAGCTTAATGATGTTGATGGCTGTCGACAGTAAAATCCCTTGCATCACATTTTCATTCTGAGGAGACCTGACGTTCGCGATCCCCCCCCCCCTATCTGCAAGCGGGGCGCCTTATTGTCATCGGAATTGAACCAACCAATAAGAGTGTTTGAACATTAAATACACGTTTCTTTAGAGGCAAGTGGAAACATAACCAACCCTGTTACACACTATTGTAAGATTTGATACACATGTTTATGTCTATCGTTTTTGTTAGTCATGCTGGCACCATTCCTCATTGTCATCATGCCGCTTCTGTGTTGCCCTCGTATACAGCATACTACGATTCCCAGGGTGCATTTTGTCTCCCATGATGCAATGCTTCGACTCGTTAGCCTGCAATTAGTTTAGCAAGCTGGCTATTAAGGCCAGACAAAGCTTAGTCTAAATATATTGCTTATGTTATAAGTTCTGATTGCATTTCACGTTACCTTTGGGTTGTAAATATATTAGAATGCTTGCTTGAATGTCATGCTGGAATGTGTGTTCATGTCATTGTCACCAATCAACTGCAATACAATCACAATTATTTCGAATTTAGATGCTAACTAGCTACGCTAACCAGAACAGAGTTACTGTAACTAGGTTAAAATGCTAGCTAGCCCAATTGCTAACGTTCCATAGTAGGCCAGGCCTGTGCAATGCATTGCTAATACCTGGCTGCTCCCCACTTTTCCCGGAACTGAGTTTCCTGCAGGATTCAACTGCAGGCACTGCGTGGTGCAGTATGGAAAATGTATGCACTCACTAACTGTAAGTCGCTCTGGATAACAGCGTCTGCTAAATGACTAAAATGTAATGTAAAATGTAATGCTTTAATACAGCAAGCCTATAAACTTTTGCACAGCTGAGAATAAGATCCATTATCCGAGAGTTCATTATTTCCACGTTTGATCATTTGGTGGGATGATACTTCATTTCTATCAACTCCATTGCCTTGTTCCTTCCATAGATAGTCGCAGGCCTGTGCATGCATTATATACAATAGCTTGCTGCACAATTTATTTTCCCAGAACTGAGTTTCCTGCAGGGGGCTGCAGCACAACCTCTGTTCATAGAGCAGACTGTCTGTTGTCAAAAACCCCTTTGATCTTTTTCTACCAATGCTGGCTGGAAGTTGAAAGCAGAGCAGAGCATGACAACTTACCAGGTACTCCACCTGTACTCCACCTGTACCTACCG